CTCTGGATCCGCCACTGATATATACTAAATACTAATATAAAAACATAAAAAGTTTCACTACAATTAATCTATTGCAGTGGATTTAAAAATTGGACTAACAATAAAAGTTTAATTTGCATCTTTGAATATTCCCCCATGCTTCTCGTGACAATTGATTTGACACCACCGGAAGTAGTCCTTCATACTACATAGCGACACTGTATTCCATAAAAAATGACAACAGTTGCAATCATCAATTACATTTTTGTTGGTGATTGACAAAGATTATCAAATTCTGTATTTATTGCAGGTTTCTGTTTGAAGGTAGTCATGGCAATGTGTTGTATACAGGTGATTTCAGATTGGCTAAAGGAGAAGCAAAAAGAATGCATCTTTTACATTCTGGATCAAGGTAAGTGCTGGACAATCTGAAATCCTGGAGGGAGACAAATATATTTTTAAATGTAAGATTAGTTTATTTTCACTTTAGATTTAATAATTCAGTGAAAATATCGTTTTCTGTATACTTTACATGCAACTCATCAGATATCAGTGAAAATAAACTTCATACAAAACTGCCAAAATTATTTCTAGCTAAAATAAAATAAATTAAATTCTTAAAAAAACTGAAACGGTCACTAAACCATACCCTACCCCATGAGTTTTAATAGCACGTCGCCAGCTGACCATTCATTTTGACTGTCTGTGAAGGTGTTATTAATTAAAGTACCAGTAAGCAATGAGTTAAATAATCTTCCTCTAAGATGAGGGCCTATTTGTAAATATCTCAGTAGATGGTAAATGTTTAGCTATTATGATCTGTATTTCCTGACTCTTAACATTTATAAGAATATAAAAAGTTTACTAAATTCTGATATTAGTGATGACAACCTTTGAACCATTACTAGTCATATACTACTCCACTTCAAACTGATTCATGTATTTCAGGCAATCACACTCCACTATTTAATCTCTCACCTGATTGGCTATCAGTTTGCACTACACAGTGTGTCACCATTGAACAGCAACCAATAACAAGTGGTGTTATATTTCAGAGTTAAAGATATTAAAAGTATCTACTTAGATACAACTTTCTGTTCACCCGACGTCATGCATTTACCTTCTAGGGTGAGTACCACACAGTTAGACCAATATACAGAGATTCCATTTCTGTTATTACCCACAATATTCATTTCCAGACATCAAATTATATATTGTCTTAAAGCTTGCGTAATGTATTGCTTTCAGGTAGAGTGTCTTCAAGCCCTCATAGAACTAGTTGATGGGTGAGTAATTATATTGTTTGAGTATACTGATTTAAACATGATGAAATAACACATGTTTATGATGTCCAAAATGACATAATTTGAAAAGTTGTGAAAGGGTAAGTTTCATGTTTTGAAAAAAAACGCTTTTTATGAATTATATTCATTTTTTGTATATATTCAGTATTCATTCCTTCGAATTAATCCAAGTTTTTACCTTATCTAAGACAATCAGGCAGGATGCTCGAACAGATATTTTAATTTGAATAATTATATGAGAACTACAGATTTTGCAGACATTTTTCCAAAAAGGACAATAGGAGATTATGTTTATTTATTTCAAATTAAAATATTTTTTGAAAATTACAAACAAATGTTGCATAAGAATTTTGGCACGAAATAAAATTTTAAGTTTTATTCAACTATTCAAATATGAATCGTGATTTCTTGTAATCTCAGACTGTGATTTAAACCGACAGATGGATTTATCAAAGCCCTAAACACATGGTGAGATTGACTTGTAAAGCCAAGTATGGATACGAGTATCTATTTGTTGAACTCAGTAAACATTTCAATATGCAGGTTAGTTCCAAGTTAAATTGTTATTATGGTTGTTGTAAAAAACTTTAAAAACTGCTGAGACTGATAAACATCTCTTGTTATTTTGTTTGCAGATTTTCACTGAAATATGTGTACATGTCTAAAAAAAAATTGTACACATGTTGAGAATACATTAAAGTGCATTTACCTTTTTAGCTCCACTGTCGACGAAGTCGAGCGGAGCTTATAGTATTATTGATTGTCCATCAGCGTCCGTCGGCGTCGTTGTCGTCAACTTTACATTTTCGACTTCTTCTTAAAAACCACAAACTGTATAGCTGTGAAACTTTCCAGGAAGGTACCTTGAGTGGTTCTCTCTCAGATTTGTTCATTTCGTGTGGATATGTTCAATTGTCTTATTTATAGCGAATATTTTTGTCATTTTTGGTCAAAAATTCTATTTTCGACTTCTTCTTGAAAACCGCTAGCCCAAATGCTTTGATACTTGGTATGTAGGTGCTTTGGGTGGACCTTTCTCAGATTTGTTCATTTCGTGGTGATATCTTCATTTCTCTAATTTTGATGAATATTTTTGTCATTTTTGGTAAAAAATTATATTTTCGACTTCTCCTTGAAAACTGCTACCGTTAAAGTCCTAATATAAACCGCATACGTAATAGTAACCGCACCCCCAATTCCGGCTTCGGGGTTAAAGAGTTCTTAACAAAAATTGAAAAATTGAAAAGTACCTATTACTAACCGCACCCCCAATTCAACAAGACCGTGACTGACTTCATTGTTTCAACCAGCTGTTCCAAAACGGCATTGTTCCTAATCCTATTCATTTGTTTCGACAACATGCCTAAAAATATTCACACCTATTTATTGTTCAGCGGTGATAAGATGTCAGACAGGCAATGAAACTGCTTTTGTTCTGGCGGCGACCTCTGTCAATACTCTTTCTGAATACGTCTGTGTTTCGTAAGTTTTAGACAATGAGCTTTTATCACCGTAAAAGTGTTAAACTGAGCATTGAAGAATAATTTATCTTTCGAAAAC